GTGAGATGCACTCCCACTGCAGAAGTTCCTGGAGAACTGTCTCCTGAGGGAAGGAGCCTGTGCTGGAGCAGGGAGAGGACTCTTGTCCCTGAGCAGCTGCAGAAACAACGTGTGATGAAATGATCACAACTCCCATTCCATGTCTCCCTGCCCTGCTGGGGGAGGATGAAGAGCTGGGAAGGAGGGAGGGGTGTGGGAAAGGTGTTTTCAAGATCTTATTTTACTTCTCAGTATTCTGCTCTGGTTTCTTAGCAATAAATTCAAGTAATATCTCTAATTAGAGCCAGTTTTGCCCATGACAGAAGGTGGTCAGCAATCCCTCCCAGTCCTTAAGTCAATTTATGAACCTTTGTTATATTTTCTCTCCCCTGTCCAGCTGCAGAGGTGAGTGATAGACTTTGGTGGGAGCCTGGTATCCAGCCAGGGTGAACCCACCACAAGAAGATAAAAGGAAAAACATGTCCAAGTCTCTCCTGTACCTATAAACCAAACCTGCCACACCAGCAGGCAGCTGAGGGACCTGTCCCAGTGTATGGACACCAGTGGGCAGCTGGGACAGCTGCCTGCACAGGAGACCACCCTCACACCTACAGGGAAGGGAATCCTGTGCCAGAAGGATTTTTAAATAACTGTAGGTTAATTTTCAAGGGCTTCTGGAAGCCTGAACAGAACGGGCACTCTCAGGGCTGTGTGGGACTGCTGCATGCAAGTGTGAGGCTTTCAAGGGACAATAGGTGCAAAGAAATGCCTTGCAAGCAATCACCTTTCCAGCACTTACTGGCAGAATGGTAGGAGAATTAAAGGTAGAAAATCTCATCAGTGAGGTTTTGCTCCCAGCTGGAACTGTTTTTAAAAAAGGAACCACAGAATTTATGCAAAGGTCCAGCATGATGGTGCTGAAAAGAGGATAGAGGTGGAAATATCAGAAGGCTGGTACCATATAGTCCCCACCGATTTTTTCCTCAAAGCAGGTGTTTTGTTACATGATGTTAACTTGACTCTTTGGCTGAAAATGAAAATTAAATGGGAGATGTTGAGTCCAAAGCAGAGCTGACCCTTCTGTCTCATATCTGGGAACACACCAGCCACAAGATCCTGAGTGTGAGCAGGAAGCACAGTATTGCTCAAAAGCCAGAATGAAAGAAAATTAAGGAAAGAAGGCAAGCTGGAATCCCTCCCTCCAGCTGGAGAACCCTCCCTGTCCTGCAGGGCCACGGGCACTGTGGCTCCTGTCTCTACATGGGCTCAGCACAGCAGCCCCGTGCCAATGCCACCCAAACTGATGGGAAGCCTGGTTTATGACCCAGCCTTTTGTCCATCATTCCAGAAACATCTCCCGTGCCTGCACAGTCCTTTCTTATGGTCCTCCCAAAGAGGGTATGGACAGACATAAGTCTCAGCTATCAAAAGGACACTCTTGGAAACACTAAAGCAAGTCCCTGAAGCCACACTGATCACATCAGATGCTTGGCTTGATGTTATAACACAGCATTTTCTGAAAGAAATACAGAGCTGAGTAACAAAAAGGGTCCCTCAGAAACTCTCATGCTCCACATTAATACTTCAGAAAAACTGAATTTCTGCTACAGCAACTGCTGCAAGCACCTGAAGGCTCCAGTGCAGGGTGTGCATGTTTGATGGAACAGAAATATAGTCATTTCCAGAAACTTAGGACAAGTCAACATGGACAAATAAATCCCTTTTCAAACCACACAGGGGGAATCATTGCCTTGCTAATCTGCCTGAGACTTCATGGCACTCTCTCACAGAAAAAGGAATTCACCTAGAGTGTTTTCTGCATCTGTCAGTGCTTGATACTCTGATACTGCTTGTTAAAAAACAAGTTCATAGATTAAAAACAAAAGTGCCATTACAGTGCTTTTAAAGCAAGTACTGTACTGAAATGGCTTCTCCTTCATCTTTTCATTTTCACTAGATTAATGAAAGACTTCAATTAAAATGTAAGCCAAGTTAGAAAAGATTTTAAAATTCAGTAACTCAGATCTTTCCATCCTAGCATTTATTTTCTATTGTAACATCTGCCATGCCAGCAGGCTTTTGTTTGCATCTTGTCCCATTCTTACCTGGACAAAAGCCTCTTTTTATTCTCCAGATTGAAAAAAAAAAAGAAGATGACAGACATTTCTGTGTGCATAAGTAATTCAAGTAATTCAAGAGGGAACATCAGCTAAATATACTTAGCAGGTATAAAAATTAGACCACAAACTTTTATGCCTGAACTATTTGCTGATTCTCCAAGCACTGGAAGTGCTTTGACTTGTGCATCTGAATCTCCACAGAAATCAGATCTCCGTTTTCTTTCTGTATATTCTTAAGCAAGACCCCCCCAAAAAAACCTCTGGGTCAACTACTTGTTGGTTTTCTCTCCCATCTGCCCTTCCTGTTTTCAAGAAGTTTCTGAAGATGTTTCCTAAAGAGCATCACCTCTCCAGCTCACATTAAATAAGGGATTTGCAGAAGTGACAGGGGGGAGCAGGCAGGCACACACCTGTGGACCACTTTGGAGCTGTAGGCAGAAGAAAAGAAAAATCCAAGAAAAATCTAAGCCAGGGAATCTTGTTTCACTGCTGCATTCAAATTTGAGTCTAAAGCCCAGCTGCTCATGGCATTTCAACATAAATGCAAACAGTGGGCTCAGAAAATTAATCTCAGCCATCTAGAGCCTCTATCCCCGTGGTGAGCAGTAAAGATCATAGGAAAAGAACAACAGGGACCAAAGTGGATCAAGAAGTTTCCTCTTCTGAGCTTGCAGTTTCATGGCTGTGCTTGACAGAGCAACCTGCAATAAATCTCTTTATGCTGGAGACATTAGTGGGCAAAGAGAAAAAATTCAGTCCCACTTCCTACCCCTGTTCTTTTATATGCTTCATACTGAATCCATACATTTTACTGAGCTTGGGTTTAAAATAGTTCAGGATTAAATAGAAATTATTAATATTTTACCATGTCAAAATGTTTATGGGTGAAAATATTTGAGTTGGTAAAATTGTTAACTTATGAGGTTAAATAAATATTTACCTGGCCTTAGGAATTAGTAAATTGCATTAAATTATATTAACTATTATAATTTATTCTAAATTGAGAAGCTTTAAACCAGTGCAAATTACATAAATTAGGCAAAGTTAATCCCTGTTCTTAAGCCTCCTTAAAGTCAATTGCATTCCTTAGTATTTGAAGGGTTAAATTGAAGTTGTCATCAGTGACATCTTAAGGCGTATGTAAAATGAAAACCTTGATTTTAAATGTAGGTTAATTTTCATTACTGTCATAAAATAAAATACACTTTAAAAAAAAGTCCTGTTTTCTTTCATATAAATGTCTTGTCTTTTTTTCCTAAAATGTGGGAAATAAAACCAGCTAGCATTCAATACTGGGCTCAGTAGAAATCATTGGCCTGAAAGTTCAGCATTGCTTTCCACAACATAAAATCCAATACCTCCAATAGCAGATCACATTAAATTTGACCTAACCTGTGGGCAGGGTTCTTTACCCAGAAATAACATCCCTTTGCAAAAAATCAGTGTTTTGAAGGATCATAATGTGCCCTGTGGGAAATAGAACAGAGAAGATTACACTTCCAAAGGATGCTCACATCCAACAAGGCAGACACACCCTGAATATGCAGGACTGGGCTCATGCATAAACACCCAAGGTTTTTTTCCAGGAACAAAGAAACTACAGCACTTCATCTCGGAACTCCATCTAAATGTGGCTCAGTCTGTAAAAACAGAGAAATGGACCCATTTAACAAGAAAAAGGATCCATTCCCAGAAGACTTTCTTCAGTCGAGATTTTCCCATTTTTCCTGTATCAACCCTTTCGTCCTGCAGCTGAAATGCAGGTATGAATTCCAAAAAAAAAAAAAAAAAAAAAAAAAAAAAAAAAAAAAGAAAAAAAACTCAAAAAAACAACCATACCAGCGTGCTGAAGGCATCTGGGAGAGCAGTAAATTACTAGCAGATTGGAAAGATTGATTTGTGAAGAAGTTACAAGGAAGTGGAGACATTGCAATCAGCATGTACATGGTGTAAAGGCCGGCTTTCCCAGCAATCCCTGAATGCCCTCAATTCCCACTAGAAGGCTGAAATCAGTGGGAGCCCAGGACATTGAACAATTCATAAAAATTAAAGCAGGGCAACGACTGGTTTCATTGTTTGTTCTTGGCAGTGCCCACCAAGAGCGCGACGCCGGAGGAATGCGTGATGGATGTTGTGACAACTCTGAATTTGGAAAGCCTGAGCACAAGGGACAGGGCACTGAAAGGAGGTGTAGCAGTGGATGAAGTGATCAAAGCTGAGGGTGCCTGGCACTCTTTATTGGTACAGCAATCTTTGCATTTTGGGTAGAGACCATTCCCAGAGCAGCTCAGCCTGGCTGCTATCCTCAGGTATCCTACCCTCATTTCCTAAAAATCCCCACACAAGGGCCTGTCCTGTGCTTCAGAGGGCACTTCAGAGGGCTGTGGGATGTGGGGAGCTTTGTGGGGCAGCTCTGGCACGTACCCCACTGCAGGGAGAATGAATGGGGTGATAAATGGGGCGGGGGAGCAGCACAGGGGGCCAGGGGCTGCCTGGTGGGCACAGAGCGCTGCACTCTGCAGGGGCAGGGAAGACATCCGAGCTGCATAAAGACAAAAGAGAAACTGGTTTCTGATTCTTTGGTTGGTTTTTTTTTTGTGAGACTGTACACAGGAACGATCTTAACAAAACAAAGTCTAAATTTTAAGCGAGAAAATACCTTCCAGATTTAAAACAAGCTCCAAAGAATGTCCCGTGTTAAGGCACTAACAACAAAATTGGCACTGCACTAGAAAATGCAATGAGAGGAGGAACCTTTGACCAATTCCTTTTTCCCCCCACTAGATGCATGTTTGACATTTTCTTTCTGTATGACCTAGAAATCCATAGCTGTGAAGAGAGCCCCAGGTGCCAGGTACAGCAGGAAGCCCTGAACCAGCCCACACAGAGCCCCCAGGGCTGTTTGGGGTAGCCCTGTGAGGTTCCACCCCACCATCCTTATGGGTCCCTCTCAACTCCAAATATTCCCTGATTCTGAGTCTCTTCTCAGTCACATTCCTCTGAACCTGAGCCACGCCCAGCAGACCCTCCTTGCTTATCTTGATGGTTTTCTTACACAAAACAGAGTCAAAAGTCGGTGATAAATCACTGAATGATTACTCTTCAAGAGGAGCTGTGGCTAGCTAGTATTGTTTTGACCTCACTTTTCTTGTTTATCTCACTTTTTCCAACAAATGACCCTTTTTATTTGAGCACAGGCTTTGCATTTCTTGGACACCTGGAATATGTAAAAATAATTCCACAAGTTTTCTCCTTTTCTGGGAGGGTAGAATAGAATAGAATAGAAATAAAATAAAACAAAATAAAACAAAATAAAACAAAATAAAACAAAATAAAATAAGATAAAATAAAATAAAATAATAAAATAAAATAAAATAAAATAAAATAAAATAAAATAAAATAAAATAAAATAAAATAAAATAAAATAAAATAAAATAAAATGAAACTTTCTGTTTTAGGGCTGCCATACCTCTCACTTCCTTCTAACACTTAACACCAGGCTTAAAATTGTACCATATCAACACAGAGAAGCTGAAATACCACGAGCAGCCCTTCCACCTACTCTGCTTTACACATTAAACCACGATTCAAGCAGAGTCCATTAAGGCATCTAAATGTGACTTACCACATGTGTTAATTGGGTGGGGAGACAAAAAAAAGAGAAAGCACAGCCCTCGAATGTGGACATTTATGTATTCTCATTATTCAGACCCTCCTGATGCCACAATCTCCCACTTCTATAGTTTATAAATGTTTGATTTAAAATATAGCCATTTTATCATTTGTACCACATTTACCTCATCTTACCACTGTTCTGACTGGATGAGAAGCTAATGTAGCCTACACTGTCTGGTCAATTATTGCATGGACACCAGGGACCAATTAATGCCATCCATAAAAGCCTGAATCATTCTGTCAATTAACTTGAACTAACTATGTCATCAGATATATTACTGGTGAGCAAGTCTATTTGGTTGCAATATGTCTTGAAGGAGAGCAGTATCAAATGAATCACAATTGACTTGGACAACTGCTAGCATAATTTCAGAAGATGAAAAGACAAATGTGGTAGTTATTAGTGGTCCCCTGAGGAATTACGGCCAAGCAATTGTAATGTGCTAAGACTGTACTAGCAGGTGCCCACAGCACAAACCAGGCAGAGGGTTAAATCAATATTTTCAATTTCTTGGGATCAATTCAGTGTTTGAACAAGATGGAAACTTGTTAGCAATTGGCAGAATGTGTAAATGAAAAGCCAAACTTCTTATTATTTGTTAAAAAGGAATCAGTGCTCCGCATCATGCCCTTGGCACAAGGTAATGCTTTCATGATCCTGTTGCTTGGGCATTCACTAAAAATCTAGCAGTTCTTAAATTTTAATAGAGTGCAAAAGGTTACTTTAATACATGCTGAACATTCAGGATCTTTAAAAATGATTGAAGTGTCAATAGGAAAGTTTTTGAGCTGTGACAACAGCATAGTTATTAACGATTAGTGCAAGGAGCAGAAGAAACCTTGATTGCTTTAGAAAAGTCTCACCAGGAATGCAGCTCGACATCCTTGCTGCAACTTCACGTTTATTCTCTTTCTTGCAGGAGAACATTTGGATCATCAGGTGATCCTTTACCAATTAAGCAAAAAAGAAAAAGCCACCTTACACAAATTGATTTCATTTATCACTGCTGGGTTTGAGGATGCCTGTAGCAGGACCTAAAGCATTGGCATCATATTCCTTACTTTTAACTCAAAGGTGTAAAAATGAACTGTTACATCTTAGTATTGATTTACTAAAAGCAACTCTGACAATCAGGGCTTGGAAAATATATCTTATTTTGAGTGAGGGAGACATACCCTTAAAACAACAATTTAGACAGAGCACAGTAAAATCTCTGGGATCTGGAAGCAGAAGACTGGCAAGAAATGCTATTGTACCTGGGGAAAAACCACATGATCTCAGCGAAAGCTATTTCCATGGTGCTCACCCAATGCTTTAAGTCCATTATTTCAAACAGATCAAAAATATTAACAATTTTTCATGGTTATATTTATTAGCAATATTTATTAGGAACACAAAAAGAAGGCCCTGATGGCTAATTAGAAAGAGGAAACTCAACAAAATAGTTCTGGAAAATGCCTGAAGAAGGCATCTATGCTTCAAACATGAGTGCATTTCTCTCTGTGTTGGGCTGATAGAGGAATTCTCTGAACTGTCTTCATTTTGGACTTCAGCTCCTGGGCACAGAGAAGTGAAGAGGCAGGAGAAGCTCCTCTTCCACAACTGCTTGGCATAGAGACATTCTTTTTAATATACTTTGTTTGTATCTATATTTAATATACCTTGTTGTTATATATTTAATATACCTTGTTGTAACCAATATTTACAACATTGGGAAAACAGTTCATCAGTGTGAAGCATTTTTATCCAAAGGACCTCAAAGCACTTTAAACACAGAGCAGGGAAACGATCCCTTGCCCAGCACATGGAATTCACTGCCTGTGAATTCCATATGAGAATTTCAGCCTGTGAATTCACTGTGACAGAAAGTTATTACCAGCAGCTCTCTAGCTGCTGTTTGTAAACACCAGTGGCAGCCTTCACTGATACAAGCCAAAATAAAGAGCACTTGAACTTCAAGAAACTGCAAAGCCTCTTAAATCTTTACATTAGGTGCTGCAGATGAAGTAGGAGATATTTCTCATTTCTCAGCCTTTTCACAGGAAAAGAATGGTGCCAAGTCAAATGAAATAATGAAAAAGAAAAAAAAAATCAAAATGGATTTCCCTGTTTCAGGGTTGGCCCAGATAATCTATTGTCAGTGTCTAACTCACTGCAGCTTTGTCTGATTTGTGCAATACATTTGTCAAGGAGACCTTTCTCTTGAAATGCATTTAGCACAACATGGGGGATATGCTCCACACCACAGGACAGCAGGTCCAGAGCAGGCAGACACAGCATCAGTGTCAGAGCATCAAACAGAGGGGACACAAAACATCACACTGCTTCCTACTGGATTGGCCCACACTAATTACAGAGAAAAAAAAAAAAAGAGAGAGAAAGAACTCATTAGAGTAACAATACAGTGAGTTTTTGAAGAATAACCCAGGAAAGATAAACCTTTTCACCAGGACACACAGCCAGCAGATTTTCCCTTGCCCAGCCCCTCTACCTATGCACCATGTGTCAGTAACAACAGGATTTTGGCTCCCTGTACACACCCTAGGGTGGAACCATTCCCAGGCTTTTTGGAGGACAGGGAGAACGTGAACCTCCCCGTGCAGAGAGGGGAGCAGGAGAAGCAGCACAAGCACTGGGAACCAAGGTTCAGCAAACGGGAGACCATGAAATACGGAGTAACTTGAAACCAGCCCCCAAAAAACCCCCAGCCCGTCTGGCTCTCAGCCACACCCCTGCAGCTCTTCTGGAAAAATGGGCCCTGTCTGTGAGACAAGGAGCTGATCGAGTCCATCCTCACCTGTGGGCATGGACAGACTGAAGGGCAGGGACAGACAGAGGGACACACGGCTCGGGACAGAGGGACACACAGGACAGAGGGACACGGCTCAGGACACACAGGACAAGACAGAAGGACACACAGGACAGAAGGACACAGCTCAAGACAGAGGGAGACACGGCTCAGGACAGAAGGACACACAGGACAGGAGGACACAGGACAGAGGGACACACAGGACAGAAGGACACACAGGACAGAAGGACACACAGGACAGAGGGACACAGGACAGAAGGACACACAGGACAGAAGGACACAAGGCCAGCTGACTGTCCCACAGCCCCTGCTGTCTGGAGCCGGGTGTGGAACAAGCGCCGCGATTGTTCCTGCCAGACGCCCCGGGACCCACGATGCATAATTGCAGAGCCTGCATGTCCAAGGGCAGGAGACACTGGCAGCAGCACAGCAAACTGCCTTGAAGGGTTGGTAACATTTTCCTCTGCCGTCCCTGGAGCTGCTGAGACGTTGCAGAAGCTGGGCTGGTTCACACCTGCCTGAGCATCTCCTCTCCTGCACACTGAAATAGATTTTCCTCTTCACAAAGTGGCCTTCTTCTTTTTTTTTTTTTTTTCCCCCCCCATCTAGGAATTATCTCCATTAATTTCCTCTGTAACAGCCCCTGAGTTGTGGTTTCCACAGAACCAGAAAACAAAGTCAGTCTTTGCAGGCTGAAACTGATACACCACTCAGTGTGCCCGTTTGATTTCTTTTATAGAATAATTTATCTCAGAACCTTCCTGGTTCTGACCCAGTAAACCTCACCAGGCTGGAGGGATGGGTGTCTGTGACAGCTCCTGGTGAGTCATGTGCCAGGGGAGCACAAGGAGAACACCTCTGCAGTGCTCAGCCCCAGGTGAGGGATGCAGGGACTTTCCCATTTCACTTCTTCTGAACCACGTGCAAAAAAAAAAAAAAGCAAAATGGCAGGACTGCACTTCAAGCAGGGCAAGAAATGTGCTATAACTGTATCCACGTGGCAATCTTTCTGCTAAGAAAAGACATCAATCAATTCCACTCATGATAAAAGGGAGAAATTTTATGTCAGGGCCCATTCTGCAAACACGGAATTCAGCACTGCCTGTGGATCCCAAACACAACAGAATTCACTGTTAATTAAGAATAAACTATATCAAGCTGTATACTATATAGCCTAAACTAAAGCTATATACTATACAAGCTATATACTAAATAAGCCTAAAAACACAAGGCTCATTATATCTTTGAAATGATATTTTTTTCTCCAGAAATAATAACACGAAAAAAATATTCAGTGTATATTTATTTTGTGTACCAAAAAACATATTTAAAATTCTGAAAATCTAAGGAAAAAGCATACAGCAGGAAAATAATTCCAAGCCATTTTACACACAGTCATTGAGGTTCTCATACGGGATTTTCTGGTTTAAATGTGGAGCAATTTCACCAAACACTGTAACAAAGTCATATTGATGTAAAACTGCAGTCTGTCTGTAATTATCTATCAGTATTTATCAGATTTCACAGATTTTGGACACATAATTTTTAATCTCCATGAATACAATTTAGTAGGCAAACAGCAGTTCTCTAGCAGATAAACAGGAGCTATGGTTTTGCTCAAGCTAGAATTGAGTTTTCAGGTCTTGCCTGGAAAAATGGAGCAGATCCTGAAGACAGTAACAAACTAGTAGCTCATGAATGTCACACCCAGCAAGAAGCAGTATCTGGTCAGAAGTTCCCATGGACTTCATGCCAGGATTTTATCTCTGGCTCTCAGTTATCCCTGCCTCAGAAACGAGTGACTTCTCCTCAAGCCTCCAGCACAATCCAATTCACTCAAGTTCTTGCATACAGGTAAAAAACAGACAAATTCTGGAATAAAGGCAGGGTTTGAGCATCACATCACAAGCAGAAATATTTACATGGTGCACCTGATTTCACATTGGTTTGAGTTTGCTGAATTCAAAGGACTTAGAGACAATTTGATCACAAAATAGGGAACCTCTGTTTTTCCTTCCCTTGCCTCCTTGCTCAAGCCCCAAGCCCTACAGTAACAAAATGCTCCCCTCATAACAACCAGCAAACAGGTCTCCACATTCACACCCGAAAGAACATCTGCAAAGAAAATAAAGGCAAGATTCTCAAGCTTGCTGCTACACATAATCTATTATTTCTCATATTTACTATTATTATTACTATTGTTTTCACTGTATTAACAATATATTTCTTCCATGTAAAGAAATACACTGAAGTAAAAAGATTTAAATATTTTATTTGGAACATTACTTGTTTGAAAAGCAACCCTGTACACTCGTCTTCAACTAGAATTTCCCTCCCATAGTGCTGTAAAGCAGAAACTGGCATTTTACCATGATCTCCTAATTTTGCTTGGATGTGGTGCTGCTGTTAGCTAAAATGAAGCACCTCAGTAGTCCTGATCATCTCTCACAAAAGACATCAGAACCAGGAAAACCATTGCAGCTACATAACAATAAAAAAAAAACTAAACACAACCATCTTGTGATCAGTTTTATCTCTAACATTTAATTAGAATAATTTGTCATAAAAATGTATCTGATTATTTACAATTAATATCTTTCATGCGAGGTCAAAGTGGAACCTACTGCATCCAAAATGCTCTAGCTTTGAAATCAGTGGAGAAGTTATTCATGCTCCTACAGAACTGATCCTGAACCCTGCATAATTTAGTTCATGCACTCAGTATACATATGTTGGATAATTCTTATTTTATTCACAATTTTATTCAGTGCCAGATTTAAACGAGTTGCAAATGATTTTGATGAGGATATTGAATTGCTGCATCATGTTTATGATGTACTGCAAGGCAGTTGTGTATAGCCTGAGTGATTTAGGCTTAGCATAATAAATATTATATTCTTATGTTAGATAGGAGTACATCAATGAAACCTATTCTAATTCTATCTAAGGCAATGAAATCATCTGCCTGGGTTATTCATGGAAATATAAGTCCCAACCACTTTTGGACTCATGCAGATTTTATGCTTATGCAGAAGAGGTGACTTCCATAATCCATAATTATAGGTGCAATACCATTCACTGAACACCACGGCTTTTCAAATTTAATTATAAACCCCAAACGTACTTAGCTAATCGAATCAATTGCAAGTCACAGCAAAGCACATTCTAATTTTCAAGACAGATGAAATTTTGCCACCTCTCAGCTGCTGTGAGAGCCAATGTCAGGTGAAAAGTAAGAGAAAACAGACAAGCATGTTTTCCAAGAACCATTACAGCAAATTTTATGACTGTGTTTGCAGACATGTTCCCCGCAGATCTTTGATTTGCTAAGGCTGCTTTTATCTTGCTGAGCCTCTGCTGAGCAGTAACCACCATTTCCACGAGGCAACAATGCCTTTTTTGACGGGTCCCATTATCCTTTCTTGCCCCACAAATGCAACAGGCCAGTCCTCAAAAGCCTCTTTATGAATTTATGGGGATGAATCGGAACTTCTGCATAGAGAAGCGTGGCTTCAATCCCAAAACAGCCCCTGGAAGGCCCTGCCCCAGCCACAATTGCTGCCCTTGCTGTGACAGACCTGCAGCTCAGACAGTCAAGTCTCCAGCACCCTGACTTTGCCCCTGTTCTCCTGCAGTGCTGAGCTGAGGCTGTGCTGCCAGCCCACCTCTGTGGCATCTCTGCTGGGCTCACATCTTGTGGCTCTGGAGCATCAAACCCTTCTGGCTGCCTTTATTTTTTCTGTCATACAAACCCACTGTGTTTTCTGCAGGGGTCAGTTCCTCCTGCAGCACCCTGTGACATGCAGTGACCAGTATAATGAAAAACAGAGCTTAGAGTGCTGCAAGGCAGTCACATTTTCAGTGCTTCAGCTACCTAAGGAGCCACCAAAATGTGGGATATACAGTACCTCTCCTCAGAGGTCATTCTGCTTTGGTTGCACATACTGTCATTCATGTGAATGGTCTTGAGAGTATTCCGAGCAAAAAAGCCAAAACTGAGCCCAACCCAAGTGCTTTGGAAAGGCTCAGATCAATCCTGCAGTCAGTCTACTGTAAATAGAAGGCATCAATTAGTGTATACAATAATCACCAGTTTGTTCTATGGCTGTGTTTCCTTTTGCTGCAAACATAATCACAAAAGCTCCTGATGACACAGCAGCTGCAAACTGAGCTGCTCGAATCACAGCCACAGCACATTCTCACGTTGACCCTTACAAGGAATTAAGTATCATGTTATAATTGCATAGCTGTAATATTATTTATTATTTGCAACATTTGCAGTTACTTTGAAGTGTCAGTTCCATGGTACTGGCTGTTTAAAACCACGGTTTCTCAAGGGTTTGCTTAGCACAGGAAATCAGAGACTGCAGGTAGGTGTAATGGGCTGGTGAAAGGCACAGCAGAGAGGTAAGAGCAACCCAGCAGCTGTGCCACATAAAGTAACCAGTATTTCTCTCTTTTCAAATAAATTTTGGCACACGTAGGGGCAGGCAAATCAAAGCAATTCAAACACTGCCAGAGCCCTATTGACATCTATACAGTGTGCTGCTTCTCTGGGAAAAAAACTGAATTTCCTCTAAAATGCTCCACAGCCTCCGAGGAAAGTGCCCTGCCACCACCCTTCCTCATCTCTAACAAACAGAGGATGTATGGGCTGGGAGAAAGGAGCTGAGAAAGGACAGAATCCTGGAGAGACAGACAGTTCTCCTGAACTCAAATAAGTTGCAACTCAACCGTGTGCTGAGTCAGAAACCTCTGGATATAACAGAGAATTTTTGCTTTCTGACGCTACGTAATCATACAGCTTCCACTGCAACCCTTTCAAAGGGATTCACAGCTGCACTGTCCCAAGAGCTACTGCCTTTTGTTTGCTTTGAGCCTCTCACCTAAACTTTGAACGTGCTGCAGAAGAAGCAGTGAGCAGCTGCTCCTCATTCCCCTTCTCCGTGCAGCTCAGTCGTACAGATTTCAGCCCTGTCTCCTGGGAGTCACCACTCCTGGACCACAGAGGTGCAGTCCACTGAGTCACTGCTTGTGCTGGAGCTGTTCTCAGGAAAATCCTTTGATCCTCCTTGTTACGCTCTTTGAATCTTATCCAGGTCTGCTGCTCTCCTTTTTGAGTGAAGGAACTGAAATGCAGAGTATGCAGGGCTGCCCTGGCTTCCACACACAGCCAGCCCTGAGTGCTCCAGCACCAAGGAACAGCCAGGACTTCCACACACAGCCAGCCCTGAGTGCTCCAGCACCAAGGAACAGCCAGGACTTCCACACACAGCCAGCCCTGAGTGCTCCAGCACCAAGGAATAGCCAGAGCTTCCACACACAGCCAGCCCTGAGTCCAGCAGCATCAAGGAATAGCCAGAGCTTCTCCAAAATATCCTGCAGTGCTGCCACAAAGATTCTAATTTCTATCACCTAATTAAATTTAAGGCTAAAAATCAAATAATCACTTGCTACTTTTATTTCTCCCTTTTTTATTGTTGTTGTTTGTTTGTTTACTTGCAAGTATGGGAACGTT